CTTTTGCCACATGTATTTCTAAGACTTATCTCCTATGGGTCAAATTGAATGTACAAAAAAGTAATAAATCAGTGGCGCTACAACCTTTAGGTCTGGGCTCAGATTTCTGTATCTGTGTCAAGATCATTTGTCTTTAGGCATGTGAGTGATCAGTCTCATGTGCCTGACATACACTGACTTTAGGTCTAAGGCAAGCCGGTTTCCTCACCATTCGAGCGAATGTTAAATGCGCACATACGAGTATAAAGAAAGTCCATTGTTGCAGAGCCGGGGTCGAACCTACAACTTCAGAGAAAAGAAGCGCACGCTGAAGCCACTAGGCCAACACTGCTATATTGAATGTGCATATTAGGTTTTTGCATTGTTTGTTTACATTCATAGGATTCAATGATTGCCTGATGATTAGTATATTCAAGGTCTTGCATTCTAGTGCCAAACTCATTTATATATTAAGAATATCAAAGATAAAAGGACTCCACACTCAGAGTGGTCTAAAAAACATTAATATTTGATATCAAACACACATTTATATAAACATCGTGATGATACCACAGTGCGGCTAAACCTTTTTTAAGTAACAAAACTTTAAAATCTAGTTTTTAGAACTCATTCTAATATTCATAGATGAAACTTGAGTGGAATTAGTGTAATCATTTTAAATTACATTTTTAGATTATAAATTATAATGAATGAACAAGAAGCTCGCTGAAGTATTTCCGAACCAACTCGACTTAGGGTCCTTTAGTCTAGGTCTAGGTCTTGTGCCTTTATAGCGTGCGCGAGTATTTAGACCATAAGTTTGACACCAATTATAAATAACTTAACTTATTATTATGACATTATGTTAATGTTCTTATTATATGACATTTGCATGTCTATTGATATATGGCTGATTGTGCGGATTTTTGTAGTTGATCGATGTAATTGTACCACTATCTTGGCAAATAAACGATTTATTATTATTAATGAAAGTGTCCATGGGCGGTATCACGTAACATCAGGTGAGCCTCCTGCCCGTTTGTTCTATAAAAATAAATACATTTTATCTTAAAATACTCGTAAATACCTACAATAATCTTAAAACGATTTATTTACTTATTTGAGTATAAATATTTGTTATTATGTGAATATTCAAATGTTAAGTCAAATATTGATCTTCAGCAAACAATTTATTTGACCCCAACTGGTGACGTTCCAAGAAAGATATCATTTAGATAAATAGATGCTACTATTACCGACAGTTTAAGACAACTTTCTATATAAATTAAGTCTATTGTGTTAATCCGTTTAGAATTGACTTTTGTGTAAACATTTCAAAGTAACTCGGCAGATTTGATGACTCATTGGTCTAGTGGTTAGTACCCCTGACTGCGAATCCATGGGTCCCGGGTTCGATCCCCGGCTGAGACGAACATCGATGTGATGAGCATTTGGTGTTGGGCTTAGGTCTTGGGTGTTTAAATATGTATTTATATGTATGTATATCCGTTGCCTAGTACCCATAACACAAGCTTCACCAGCTTAGCATGGGACTAGGTCAATTAGTGTGAATTGTCTTAAAAAATAAAAAAAAGATTCATTCACATTAATTTGAAGTCTTATTGTCTGATATTTTAAGCTCGATTGTGATTAAACAAACGTGTCCATACTAAGACGGTTACAGGCCTCGTCTATCGACACTTTGATGCCAACGGCTCTTGAGTTTTTCTGGACACGCAGAAGTCTAGAAAATTTTGAAAAACTTACTGTGACTGGCAGAGTGGGGGCCTCCAGGCCGATCCCCTACTCGCTGGACCGATAAAGTAACAGGCCTTTACAGGTCTTACCATCACCCAGGCGCAGAGCCTTGGCGAAGACAGGGGACTGTAGAGGGCGTGGCGATTTAAATTTTGTTAATAATTACTTTCGTAAGTGACTATATTATGCATATTTAATAAATTTTGATTTGATACAAATGGACACAACACAAAATGAAGATTATTTATTTATTATATAAATAAACAAAACAAGAAATTCTTAATAATATTAGTATAGTTATCACGATACATCTCGGCCTTGGCTGATAAGTATAATCTCGCCGCAATTTAATAATTTCAACCTGACAATTATTTTTTGTCTGGATTCGTAAATCTCCGCGTCATTCCATATCAGTTACATGCAGTTGGCAGCTCAAAGCTCAGAAACTATTTTTAACGTTTATTTATATGAACACTACAATATTTACAATACATATATAAATAACAATACATATGTATAGGACAAATATAAATAAATTATTATATAGATAAAGTCATATATATAGGCCGGTATTACTTATCCAGTATCTGAATAGTAGACATCCTGGTGTGGGTTGAGTCCCATATACCATGCATTTTCACCTCGGATATAAAAAAAAGAAAAAGATATCCCTTACGTGATACAAACAATACATAACAATATGTATATGGAAATGAACTCTTACATAAACTTATTTAATCCAAACAGTTACAAATACAAAGATTTTGCTACTCGTAAAACTAGTCCCTAATTTAGCTTCGTCTAATTGCCTATTCCTCAGATAACTGTGATACACATTCTACGAATGCACAATAACGCAATTTGTACCATACATTGCCTGTTTTGTTTCGCTATTTACATTCCTACACTCGCAAAAGCCTTCGATGGAAAGCGGGTAAGACTTAATAATTGCGAGTTGCGCAATGTAATCCTGAATGTTCTAATTGAAAGTTACTCGCAAGAGTGACAGAGGTCTGTTAATAAGGCTGGCCGCAGGCTCTATTCCTTGTCAGATTAGCGACCTCCCCCGACGCCTGCTGCATTGTCTATTCACTTGGTGGTACCGGAAATTATTATGACCAATTGCTATATTTATCAGTTCAATCTTATTATAGTGACAAAATTTTATATGAAAAAATATACAACCGGTGTTTTTTTAATAACACAACGTTAAGTTAATTGTTTAGAGCTTCAAAATTACTTTGCAAACTATATGCAACGTGCTTGTATTTACTATATTCTTAACCTAAATAGTAATAATAATACTAAAAATTTATGAACAAATAAAATAAATAAATCAGTGGTACCTCACGATGTTTTCCTTACCCGTTCGAGCGAATGTTAAATGCGCACATAGACAGAAAGTCTATAAGTGCACAGCCGGGGATCTAACCTACGACCTCAGGAACGAGAGTCGCACGCTGAAGCTAGGCTAACACTGCTCTGGCCAAAAGTTTATGAATAGAAAATTAAAACGAATTTGAAAAGTTTCGTCCCTGTGGCAGTATACCATTAACGCTGGGAGCATTTTCTCGGTGTATTGCGATACTTTTTAGTTGAGCGAGGAAAGCACCACCTCGGGTCACCGGTAGTAACCAGGCGCAAACTTCAATCTTTAAATAGCGCCTGCGCACTTGAACTTATCTGACAGCTTCTTAGTGTCTCCCTACAATACTTTATTTTGTTATTTCTAAACTAAAAGCACAGAAAACACTAAACCACTAAGGGGTTAAACCTTGATGCCTGAAAAGCACACATATTTTAAATTGCTTATAAGCTAAAGAGTTAAAAATTATTGTAAATTTAATTACAACAGAGAATATAATATTTATACCTTGTACATAATATTACATCTATCTTAAATTTATGAAGCTCAGCAATCACATCCCAGGTTGCCTGTAAAATATCTATTACCCTGCAATTTTCGGGTGTTATTTTAATAAATAAAATAAAATAAAATAAAAAGCCTTTTATTTCCCAATATAGTTAATTAATCAGGTACTTTTCGTTATGTGGTTTTCTAAACCTTTGCAAAACTTAACAAAATCTATTAGTAAATGAATAAATATTATGACTATATTTCTATCATGCTAAGCATTATTATTTACAGTTTTTGATATTCTAATTATTGTATAGGAACCCCTCTTCAGGTGAAGGCCTCTTCCAGCTTTTGCCCTTTTTCTCTGTTTTGCGCTATGTGCTGCCATTTGGGGCCAGCAAGATTTTTAATATCTTCTTCCCAGCGTGCGAAAGGTCGCCCTCTGCAGCGTTTTCCTTTAGGTCCTTTCCAGGTCGTAATTTTTTGTGTCCATCTGTCGTCTTTGAGCCTCGCAACATGTTATTTTAATATTTGAGTGTAATTAATATCACTTGTGTTCTACGTACAAACAAAGAAATCATTGATGCACAGTCGAAGTCCTTACTGCCTTTTAAACACTAACACGACTAAAGCATTTGTTTATAACTTAATTAAAAGATATGAACATTTCACAATCATTTAACATACAACTTACATTTAGATAAATTATCGTAATTGCTGTGATTTACACCGCTCTAGATAATTTAATTAGTTACAACAAAGAGCTAAATTAATCATCCGACGATGTCATTAAACGCTGTTCTTGTGTTATCTGAACACATATTCATTGCACTAAAAGTTCCCCGCGGGTTTACTTATTCAATCGATCATAGCGTGAGGTTATATAGCCTCATTCAAAAAATATATGTAAAAAAATCCGTGGCGCAACAACCTTTTTAGGTCTGGGCCTCAGATTTCTGTACCTGTAGTCCCTGTAGTCAAGTAGGTGATCAGCCTCCTATGCCTGACATACACCGACTTTTTGGGTCTAAGGCAAACCGATGTTATCCTACACCGTTCGAGCAAATATTAAATGTGCACATAGTCAGAAAGTCCATTGGTGCACAGCCGGGAATCGAACCTCAGGGATGAGAGTCGCACGCTGAAGCCACTAGGCCAACACTGTCCAATAAATGGATATACCTGTACAATGTGTAAATGGAATATTTTTCAATTTGAACCAGTAGTTAGAGTACCTATACAAATAAACAGTTTTGGTAATATTTAACGTTCTTTGACTGCCTCTGTTACTTAATGGCGTATAATCCGGTCCTGGTTTCCATGCCCAGAAAAAATTATTTGTACATATTTGAACGAAAGGCTCATAGGTCACATATTTGTGTTAATATTTCGGAACTAACAGTAATTAAAACTGCTGGTACAAGGAAGAAAATTGTCCAAGGCGAGGAACTGGATTCTCTTCTGCGGGATCTCCAAAGGTTAACTGTAAAATTTAAAATCAATCAATAAATTTAAATACATATGTAAATAAACATTATTTTATTTTTAGTAGAGTATTTTAACTTCATCTTGCAATTAAAATAGCCTATATTAATGAGTGATAATGTAGCATTAAAATGGTGAAATAATTTTTGAAATCGGTTTATTACTTTTTGAGCCATTCGTTACAAACATACTTACATACATACTTTTATCTTTATAATATTAGTATAGACAATTCTTGGTGTCTTAAATAAAACAACGGTGTACTTTTTATCAAAATAATATGTTTCAGCTTTAAGCGATGAATGATACGCACCTGCTACAATACTTTGATCGTTGAACAAAAGATTTCGTTTTTATTTATAGATAATTTATTTAACATTTACTTTTAAAGGTAAAAAGTGCTTCTGCACTGTGCCCGTTTCCGACTGTATTCAATTCTATAAGCATAATTAACACGTGCTCCAACCGTGGAGGAAATATTAAAATCCTCATGTGTTAGGCCTAAAATCTACTATAAATAGGCACAGAAATATGTCTAGGTACATTCGCAATAACGACCTCCATCGGGATCTTAAACTAGGAAACGTCACCACAATAACCAATAAGATTGCTAGACAAAGGCTCCACCATCACGTGAATGTCGAGGCTATTCAACTTCTTGACACCTAGTGAGAAGATTGAAAAGGACAAAACTATTTTAATTAGTGTTCGTGCACGTGAAAAATAGAACACAAGAACAGACCCACCCTTAATAGAGACTGTAAGTAGTGTTATTGGACACTTTCTTATGTTAAATATACTTTTTAGTAAATTAGACTTAAATTACTTATTAGTCTTAAGTTAGGTTAGATCGTAATGCTCCATGATGTCTCAGTAAAGACACATGTATTAAAAATACGTGCTCCAAGGACAAGGCTTACTACACAACAAATACTTAAAATAAATTATAAAACTTATCAAACATTTTCCTATGAAAGCGGCAATAAGTCGTGTAATACTGTGTGAACCTAATTTTAGAACAAAGTCGTAAACAAGAGGAAAAGATAAACAGTAATAATAAACATCTCATTAGTATCAATTATTGGCAATTGAATTATTGTGTATTACTATAGGAAAGCTAGAAGCTTTGTAATTTAAGGTACTCAAACATATTTAATCTAATCAACAAACAACAGTGGCGCTACAACCTTAAGGTCTGGGTTTTTTGTATATGTATCTGTTTTTTCATTTATTTTCTTCTAATAATCTAGAGGACAGCCTTCTGTACCTGACACACGCCATCGACATGTCTTAAGACATGCCAGTTTCCTCACGATGTTTTCCTTCACCGTTTGACGAGTGTTATATGCACACATAGACAGAAAATCCATGGTGCACAGCCGGGGATCGAACCACGACCTAAGGGATGAAGGTCACACGCTGAAGCTACTAGACCGACACTTCTCTTCTGTATTTAATATCTTATTGAAATAAACATCAAACCTATAATGATGATTTATGCTATTATTCACCTCAACGATCGCTTGATCACTGTTGAGCGTCGTGATGCTCCCGTTGTGACAGATTACTGCTGTTTCCATATCTAACGATCTCCAGTTACCTGAATGGCGGCAGAGTCCACAGTGACCAGGTTTTGTGATACCTGGTCGATCCATTCTTTCCTTCCATTTTTCTGCTTTCTTGGAGGCCCAAGGAGCTTTTAAATATTTTTTTTAATAGAACAGATAGCCAAACGGGCAGGAGGCTCATCTGATGTTAAGTGACCGCACATCGACATTCATAATGCCAGAGGGCTCGCCAGTGCGTTACCGGCTTTTTAAGAAAATGTGCATGTCATGTAATGGACATGTCATTTCTATTTTGAAATGTACTTATCTATGGTCACTGGTCAGGCTACTCCAACATTAAAGCCGTAATCAATCCTTTATATTATGTAAAGAGAGAAACATTAGCAACATTCCATGTCAATAGAAGAGAAAATATAAAATCCCAGACATAGGAAATAGGAATACCTTTGAAAAAAACAAACACGTATAGTTTTTCAAACAATTGGTAACAAACGATACGCTTTGAAAGTTTCAGATCCGCTCGCGGCTTTTTGCAAAAATTTCATAACTTATATTGTTTGTTAGAGTATGCTTATTACTACATTGTTAACTTTTGCATATCAGCGAGAGAATTCCGATTAGAAATATTATGCAAGCTTCTAATAATTGCTTTTCCAAGAATAGATTATCATAGCATTGTAATAAACGCTTATAGTCATTTAACTTAGGGTCCTTCAAGAAAAGAGTATACGAATTCTTAAAAGATGCCCATGGTATCACTTAACATCAGGTGAGCGTCCTGTCCATTTGCTATAAAAAAAAATGTAACAGCGACAGCATAAAATATTTTCCCTAATTTGAAAATTGACAAAAATTAAACACGGCTGAACTTCTTGGTCCAACCATAATTAAGGGACATGTACAAGTAATCAAGTACTTATGTAAGTGATACAATATGAACTACCTTAATGTTTATTTAATTTTATTCCCAGTACTTTGAAGTGTTTATTTTTTGTATGTTGAAAAGTTCTATAGTATTATTTTTAATTTTTAATTATGTGTATAACGAGACTTGCCGCAGTTTGATAGTTTGCGACTTGAATTACGGAGGGAAAACAAATCATTGGATTGAGGGAATGCATTCCCTAATTGCCTCATAAGTCATAATCATCTAATCAAAGTCATAAAAATAATAAAAGCCTTTTAATTCAGATACTTTTACATTTAAACACGTTTCTATTTCAATCTTCTTTTAGGTATCTGTGTGCTCGTTTTTGGCAAAGGCCTCCTCCAAAGCCCGCCCTTCCTCACTGCACTGTGCCATGTATCACCTGCTGTTTCATTAATTTGGTCTATCCACCTTCCAAGTGTTTTTTTCGTTTGCTGTACCTTAGCCACCAGTTTAGTACTATTTTGCTCCACTTTCCTGTTCTTCTTGCCAAAAATGGGCGGGGATGTGCATTTTCACTTTAGTTTATTTATGTTTACTGTAACATCTGTGACCTTAGTTGCCTTTCTTAAAGCTGTATACTTTATTTTGTCTATTCTAAAAACAAACACACTCACTAATAATACTAATTAAATTTATATAATCTCATGACAGCTAAGAGGCTGGTTTGAAGGAAAAACAATTTTGTGAATAAAAATCCCGGTGTAATAAGTGCTCTAAGATTTGCTTGTGTTCCATCCAGTAATGTCCACATACCAGTACAGATTAAAATTGTAAAATTAAATTCTGTCTAGACAATGCAGCGTGTTCCGTTCGTATTTACATACAAAATATTCAATACAGTCACGATTCTCAGTTATCTACATCTGTATGGACGAATGAATATGATAATCGATTTTTTTATTGGAAATTAAACAGAATTATGACGAGTTACCGATAAGTTATATATTTACTTATATTTTAGTTTTAAAACTATCATGCTGAGTCATTCCAACTTCTTGCTATAACAGGAACAAAAAGCCTAAAGAGAACTAAACCTTTTGAGTTAATAAACCTAGTAGATAATAAATAGAAGTGCAAGTGCGGACACACGAAATTGTATCAAAACATTATAGAACACTAAGACTGTTAATGCACATTACCTTAGTTTAAACTATTCACTAGTATTGAAGAAAATTAATTAAGCATAATATTACTTATTGTATTTAAGCTAATTCGTAATTCATGTAATGTCGCACTCTCTTTTGTGAACGTTACTGTAGATAAATATAGTTTAAAAAAAACTATAATACTGACTACAAGAGAAATGCTACATATTTTAAATTGTTTAAGATCTTAAATTATTTTTGAATGAGTAGTAAAATGTATTGCAATCCAAAGGACCGACTATAAGTCTAGTACAAAATGATTAAATTTTGATAAACTTTCTGATCACATCTGTTCAAAAACAACTATCATTTTCTCGTCAATGAGTTGAATGAACCTGCTTTTTAGTTAAGGCATATTGAGAAATGATAGCCTAGTGACTTCAGCGTGCGAAGTCATCCCTGAGGTCGTAGGTTCGGTCCCCGGCTGTGCTCCAATGGAATTTATTTCAGTGTGCGCATAACATTCGCTCGAACGGTGAGGGAAAACATAGTGAGTAAATCGGCTTGTCTTTGACACAAACAGTCGATGGAGTGTCAGGCACAGGAGGGTGATCACCTACTTGCCTATTAGATTGACAAATGATCATGAAACAGATACAGAAATCTGAGGCCCAGAGCTTCCTTTAAGTGCATATATTATTACAATATTTAGAAAATAATATTGTCAGTTTCTTTGTCCTCGTAGAATGTCTATTTAATGAGCAACGATGTAGCCAGTCTTACATATTATATAGAGGGTAGAATTTATATCATAACTTAAAGGTAGTGAATACTTGTCCGTGCTCTACAACAATGAGAAGAGCCTTCTATAGACTTCACGTCGTATTACCATATAAATAGTAAGTGTAATTCCGTGAACGGGAAACCTACTTCAGTTGCTTAAAAGACTGGAGTACAGTCTTTTGTAACTCATATAACACATTTCAAAGACACTATTTACATTTTTTTCGTACTTAAGTAAATTTGACTGTCCAACATATTCTGTCACCGTCACACATTTATACACGACGATACATGAGTTCAAAAAATTCAAAATATAACAAGTTTATGATATACCATATAAAATAGAATTCTTTACAATTTGTCCTTTAATATGTATATATTTAAATAACTTGTGATAGCCACCAGCTCACCACCCAGCTCTTCCGTAACATATATGGTGATAAATACGTGTATTATGCGAACGGTTGACTATGAGTGCGTTTGAATGTGTGTGTGTTAATGCTATATATAAGTCAGCCATTAAATCCTCCACTTCTGTGTACCTGTTTTTCAGCCGTTGTTTCAACCTAAGAAGCCTTTTTTAATACCATATGAAATATTAATGATTCTGTTTACTGATTGAGTTTCAAATTGTTTTCAGCAAAGTTTTAATAGAAAAAGTATCAACTATTACTATTGTATGGAAGAAGTCTGTCCTTCCTCAGTGTGAACGTAAAACGTACGTACGGTGAAACTACGTTAACTTGCGATGTTAAACATATACTCCTAAGATTTTCCGTACCTGACAGGACACCGAGTCGAAAAACTAAAATATTCTAAGCAAAAACGATATCCAAGGGACACTTGGAAAGGTCGCATGTATTATGCATAAAAGCTGCATCAGAATCAATCCTTGGCATGCGACGGAAAACAAAAACCGTTCTAGAAATGTTCTTTGATAGGTTTACGTAAATATTTTCTTGTACAGCGGTTCATCGCAGGAGAGATCAAGAAAACTATGGGCAATTGTAAATTCATTATTTGGCATATGGAAATTCTTTATCGTTTAATTAACGTGAAACAAAAATGTATTTAATAAAAAAAAATATCAAATTTAAATTTTGAACTGAACTTTCACATAACATTAAATAATGACATTACTGTCAAACATATGTGCTATATCTAAACTTGTCAGTAGAAACATGTAGCCTCATGGGCGGATCGTTAATTTGTGGGACTCTGGGCTATTACGGGATTATGGGCACACGCAAAAAAATAACAATAAAAATAACACGGGCGCACCGAAAACAAGCGACGGGTAATTCCCCGTTCCGTTCGATAGACGCGCATCGCACATTAGTTGATTGATCTCAAGGATTCCAACCTCTAAAATTATCGCCTATTGTTTTCAGTGGGGACTTGGGGCCCTTTGTACCTACCCAAAAAGCCCTTAAGTAGACTAGCCCGTTGCTAATTATAATATAACGTAAAATAATTATACACCTTAATCTAGCTTGCTTAAAGCCCCTCAATTTTTTTTTTTTTTTAAAGACAATTCACACCAATTGACCTAGTCCCATGCTAAGCTGGTGAAGCTTGTGTTATGGGTACTAGGCAACGGATATACATACATATTATAGATAGATAGACATATAAATACATATTTAAACACCCAAGACCTAAGCACAACACCAAATGCTCATCACATCGATGTTCGTCTCAGCCGGGGATCGAACCCGGGACCCATGGATTCGCAGTCAGGGGTACTAACCACTAGACCAATGAGTCGTCAAATTCAATTGAAACGTCCATCTCTCAAAAAGTTCATTTATATTATTTTTTATCCCTCTGATACTGTTTCGCCAACGTTGGCAAATTGCTTGTAATCTCTAACGGTTCCCTTCATTCGGATATGAGACCCTCATGGCATTATCCGCAAGCAATCTATAGGGTACTGCAGCGATTAGCGATTGCGCCCAGTAGAGCGTACACAACCGCCCGATAAGGAGAGATAAGCTTAATGCAATGGAGGTGTGTACATTGCTTCGTGTATAGAACATAACTGAGCCTACAACTAAGTACAGTGTTCAAATTTGGAATGAAGATGTCTACTAAGTATTTTCAAATTTAGAACGATGTACTTTGAGGTTGTGTTTTTCGGTGACGTGTCTACAACGAAGGTTTTATATGCCATCTTCAGATCCATCTGACACTCAAAGAGTTTTTAGTACACGTTTTGGTCCCAGAGTTAGTAGTGCTAGAAGAGCAATGTAAATATAATATTTAAGTGTGTAGTTAAAGTATATATC